AAAATGACCATCTCGAGAAATCTGCTGAAGCTCATAAGGTGTTGTTTGTTGTCAACGAAGCAACATTCGAGAATGATAAATACTATGAGTTCATAGAAGAGGTCAGAGTCCGGCTAAGGGAACCCCCATGGAATACAAATATTACAGACGCGTCAATGGTAGGTATATGTGTGCCAACGTTAACATTAACATTAACCTGATTTGAATGTCATATTATTTTCACCTTTTGCACGTTTTTATATATATTTTTATAATTCATTTATTGATTTTAGACCGAATGGACATGATTTCTAATTGAATATCGACATTATGTGACAAAATAAAAAACAAAAATACAGTTGCCTTTGACAGGTTAAACGGGTCAAACGAATTTGCACGATTCAAACTTTGATACTAGTTATAAGCGCAATCTAATGTTGATAAAAAATTATCAGAATAAAGGCAAGCAATTATTAATAAATAATACACACATTAAATATTTAATTAACATAAGTTCTGTATTTTTAAGAAAATTGAATATCACAATAGGTTAAAACTAATTTAGCGTCTCTGCCCACACGCTGCCTATTGAATAACACAGAACCAGTGACAATTTAAAGCGGGGAGTCGTCACCTGGGCATGCGTCAGATGGCCATAGCGTGTCACTGTTTACAAACAAGTGCCTACCCATGAGCCTTTACGTTTTCAGCGCGTGTTATTATCGCTGCTTGGGACACAATTCCCACGTGTGCGCAGGTGACGACCCTTCTCGAATTTATGACCCTTGTCTGCAGCATATAAATAATGACAATATGTTAACGTTTAGCGTTGAGGTTTAAATTGTCTGGTGTTTTGTTTGTTTGTCTTTACACACAGTATTGTGTACGTTCAATATACACGGCCTCATCTACCTCTAACCCCGACCCCAACTTCACTCTAAAACTGTATAAATATAAAACGGGCGAGACATTTTATTAAGATTGCGGGCGTTTTTCAAAATAAAGTTAGTAACGAGAATTTTGCAATCATTTTCACAGAAGAGATATCAGATATTTTGCAAATATAGTGATATATTACTTATCAGCACAATTAACACAACATATCACGTAACATTAACACTGACACATACTTGTGTTTATTCAGGTGAGTAAATATGCAGCCAACCTTTATGACGCCGTCTGGCTGTATGCATCCACACTACAAGAGGTGATTTCACACGGTGAAGACCCATACGATGGACGTAATTTTAGAGTCAGGATGAAAGATGTCGTGTTTGAAGGTATGAACCAGTATTATAACATTCGCCCATTCCATGATGAGTAGAACATCAATAATTATTGTATAGTATAACTGTATCAATTTGGTGGTAAAATATTAGTAGATGAGATATATGATATAGAAATTTCTTAACTGCTGTGGTACGTATTAACGGTTTTCATCCATCCTACAGGCATGACTGGCAGAATAACTATTGACGACAATGGAGACCGAAATCGAGATGTCGTGTTGTACACCTTAAATGAAGATGAGTTTTTTGAAGTCACTGCTTTGTTTGACGCACAACTTTCTATATGGAATCTAGTTCCAGGAAAGGAAATCAAATGGCCGGGGGGAAAAACATCACCACCAGTAGATATTCCCGAGTGTGGTTTCTTCAATGAGTTATGCGAAGAAGAACCTTTAGGTAAGTAATGATGTTAGTAGACAGCCAGAAACACACAGAGTATACAACATCATGACATAGCTCAGGCCCGTAGTTTTGTGGGGTTCGGGGGGTTCGGTCGAACCCCCTAAATTTTGGAAGTGAATAGATTTATGATCGTAGATTAGAATATAATAAAACAAACAGTAATAATTGAAATAATTATAATTGTTTAAATCACTTGACTCCCCGAGGTAACTATCAGAGTAATGTAATGAGTAATGCATAGTAATGAGCATTTAGGTGGCAACGAGCTTTAAATGTCAATCGTGAAGTTATGCCGTCTCAGCTCAACAGCAGCCAACCAAACAGGTTGTTATAAATAGCCAAGCTTTTATTCGGTTTTTCCGCGATGGTGTAATGAAGATCGCGTTCAAGCACCTGATGTTAAATATTAAAACAACATTGAAACAATAATGTAATGGTAGTCACTCTCTGGATGATGTGGTGGTCCTGAATAGGGTCGTTTGTCTTGTGCTAATGTTCACTCAGTTAGTAAAGTGTGGGGATCGAACGGGATTGACACGACAACACCACACTGTACTTTCCTAGTTTGGTTCATTAGTTTTGTATTCTTCAAGTCTATGATGGCATATATACTGTTTTGTTCCAAGTGTATCAGCCAAATGTAGTCAACTTATTGTATTAGTACGTGTAGCCTGTGTTATTGGACAATAGTGTACAGCTACGGGTTGAACATATCCTTAAAAAAATACCGAAGATTTATCATCACGAGTTGTATAGGTCGAAGAGCTTCTTGAAGCCAACAATTTACCCCACAGTGTTGCTTCAGCACTGAAACTATGCGATGAATCATAAATTGCAAATATATTTTTTTACACGTTTATTTTGATGTCTCAGCAAATTTACTATAATTTTAGTGTGTTCATAAAAGGAGTTGTAGTCATTGAAGTCTATTGAGACCGCTGCTAAACTGCCACTGTATGCATAATATTTTACCGCCCTCTAAAACAGATTTACAGTGAACCAAATATATTTACATACTGTACAAAACTTGGTAGTATGCCATTGGTTAGTGCATTTAATTTGTTTGATGCAAATTCGTAAATTCGGAAATCGAGAGGGTACAGATAACATTTTGCAGATATCTACCCGGTACTTAGCATTAATAGTTGTACAAACAATGTAGCGATGTTAGACGAATGTGGAAGGCTGCCATTGTGCTGTGGTTATTTCAAGCGTTGTATCTCATATTGGTTAAAATTACTGAAACCCCGAAACATGTTATACCATGCTTAAACGATTAGACAAGACCGGCAGACTTGCTTGGGAAACCCACATAAAAATCTCCTGTTCAAATATGGTTTCGGCGTTGTCTGGTTTGAAAAACAAGTTGGAGATACTGCAAATTTTTACTCAAAGAATAAAAAAAATAGTGGCATGCCTCCATTTCACAATCATTCAGGCTGTGTACTTTTGAAAAAATCAAAATAATATTATAACCTGGGAGATTTATTGGCAAGCAATTATAGACTAAAATATATACTGACGAGTTTATGCTGCTTTGGCCAGAAACATAATGTTGAATTAGGCAGACACACAAAAATACAGTTAGATCAATAATTTGTTAGTTTTTGCAGTGATACATTTGAATTTAGCATGGTAGAAAAGGAAATTCACTTTGTTTTTATATGTCTATTTTATAATGATCTGAGGGCTGATCTTTTGTCAATAACCCTATGCAATTATGCAAATACTGACAGTCTGGGCTTACTTCGTCGCTACACAAACTGCCACACCATATATCAAATAGCTCTATATCTTTTAAAAGTTTTCAAGCGACGAGATGAATATGAATTCAGCTTAACTTAGTACCATATGTTTACATGGATGTTGTATTGTGTTTAAAACGTGCTATGCACTTTTCCACTCATTACATTTTGTACGATAGGCTGAGGCCCTGAAATAAAATTACATAATACAAAATTGACTAATACTAAAATGAATAATTGTAGACAGATTTTGACATGAAATCGTGTCACTTTTATGTGCGCTAACATCTGCGAAGAGCTAAAAAACTCGTAAGTAGCCTTCTACCTTAAAATACTTAGACAATAATGCTAAGATATCTACAGTCTTGTCTTTTTTGTGTACAACATTTTGCCGTAGTGGATCAATGGTGTGGATGTGTTTGTCTGTAGGTGGGGAATGGCTCAGGACCCCTTCTCTAAAATGGTAAAATAGTTCAAAGATGTTATGTGAAATATCTTACGAACGTAAAGTAAACCAATTGAATTTAAAACCGATAATATAAAAATCTCTGTAACAGAGCTCAAAAACACTTTTTGAATATTATAAAATTCACACATTTCACATCAACTATTTGTTGTTTTCGAACCCCCTATTCAAAAGTGCTGGCTACGGGCCTGTAGCTAGGACAGGAATTCATAGCTTGTGATTGCCAGTCCAGAGTGGAACCACTGTATCATTATGCCTCACTCTGAATACAATAAAGAATCCAGATCGTGGTATGCACTATTTTGAGCTTACTCGTAGTTCAATTTTCAGATTATCACCTGATACCACTTTTTTGGACTAAAACAACAGAGAAATCGTGATTTTATAAAACTGTGCTTACGAATTTATGCTAATTAGGCGTGACGTAGTAGGCAATTGTAGTTACGACCACACTTGTTTCGAAATTGGAAGAAATATTTCCCTTCTTATTTTTTCAAGATAAACTTTCAATAGTAATTACTATGAGCTATTGTTATTGTTATTGAGTAATTCTTGTTACCCAGTATGAAATTCTCATACTGCATCAATATATACAGGGCCGTCGTACGATCCGTATTTTCCGCGTTCTGTTCGAGTACACATAAACTGATGACGTTTAACGTGGATATCGCCACGTTTAGTGTAAAATATTAGTTAGTAAAATTTCACATATATCAACATTTACTCACACCATTCATTGCCTCTCACTTGTTGGAATCTCATTGCTTATTGACAAAAGTTAGAAGGCAGCAATATTCAATGAAAACAATGACTTTCACTTTACTTGCAGAGTAACAAGGACTTACTGGCACGTATTCATCTTCGTTATAATGTGACAATAGTGACATATAGCTGAAAATTTTTCATTTTAATTGTGTACATGTCATAAATATTATATCTGTTATCCCTAGAGAAAATTTAAAGGGTGGCAGTCGTCGCGTCGCGTTCCTGTTCGATATGGGACTCATAGCGACGTATACAACGCGTGTAAAATACATTGTTTATTTACATGAAATTCGAACACGCGCTGCGCGACGACCATCGCCCTTTAACAGTGATGCAGTGAACAGCACAAGAAGAGGATATACTATTTAATGCATTCGAATACAATGTATACATAAAAGGTTGCTTTGCATCAACAAAACATCCTCTGAAACTGAAAATAAACATTCTCCCATTCTACCTATAAAATATGTGACACACTGTAAAAGAAATGTGCGATAATAAGATTAGAAGCACAACGTTAGCAGTTCAAATCTATGTTATTCGGTGATAGGGTCGTCGTATTACATACTGCGACCCCAGCTCGTGTCACAGTTGGGTTTGTTTTTAAAGCATGGCGTGAACGCACTATTCATTATTCTACACCTCAAGTCACGATAATAATTTCCTGATTGTATGATACATTTTATTTCAGATACAACTATGATTATCACGATGTCCATAGTTATTTTCATTTTACTCGTTGTGGCGATTGTATTTATCATCTATTTGTATCGGAGGTATTTATTTGAACGCGGAATTATGAGTACAACATGGAAAATTAACTACGATGAAATAGTGATCCATCCAATGGCAAAGGTATATACAAATATGTATAGAAATGTATAGAAATATTATAAACAGCTTATGAAGTACAATGCTAATTTACAAACTTATTATCACATATTCTTTGATGAAACTTTTTAGCAACTCGCGATCTCAGTTTGATTTCACATATAACTGACCAACCATTTACTGTCAGACCACAACATCTTCTGCTTTTCTATCCCAAAATACAGAGATACTAGAAGCGTAGAGGTGATAAAGATACGTGCGTCATGTAAAGTACCATAAACTTTGTGCGATAATTGTGTTTTCTTCGTCGAGATCATTGGTTTCTGCGCATAATTCCGAAATCATCGTGATGTTATTAATATGAATAAAATAATATATTGTTTACAGATAATTTTAAACGATTATTTTTTCAGTAGAACAAGTTATTCAACATTGCAGTAACACATACAATTTAAAGTAATACATAGTTATTTGTACATACACACATAATTACGATATGCATATAATATTTACCCAACCAGACGGATATTTCATAACTAGTCATCTAATCAGTAAAGCTTGCAATTGAACAATTTTTTGAGCTTAAGACATACACAACTTATTAGCACTTGTCAAAACAAATTAAACACAATAAATCGGCAATTTGGCAAATATTAATTAACATTTATATTTTATTAGGCGTTTATAAAGCTTTACTAAAAACTAGTTTTCATTGAACCCTTTTCCTAAATAGTGTTACAAGACACTTCATATACATTATAGTAATTGGTTATCTATATCTTGGATATACTTTGCAGTCAATGTACATTCATTGTCTTTCAGACTGCGGTTACGATCATAATACTATATTAATTGTGCTATTTATGTTCATATTACAGTCATTGCGTTTTAGTCGCCTTCAACGCATGTCAAGGAGTATGTCAGTGAGTGAGATCAGTAACGGTATTGCTGGCACTCGTCAAGTGTTCACTATGACTGGACAATACATGGTGAGTGATATGGATTGATTTATTGTAGTTGAGTAGTGAAATATTCTAATTCTTTACAGCAAGATATTCAACTTGCGCATGCTCATCTCGTCCGCGTACATTACACGCGGTCTATGTGGGGGTAGGGTTGCAGTATTGCACTTGCACTTGTGTTCGTAATATGCATGTAATTTATATTCCGTTGTAGGCAGAAACTGTTGCTGTCAGAAAAGTATTCAAGACATCTATAAACTTAGACAGAGCCCAACTATTAGAACTTAAGATAGTAAGTCCATTCCAAAGTATGTCTTACCATTTCAAAATCACTGTCGAGAATTATGAGTATATTTATCATTCACTTTTGTGGTTAATGTTCTAACAAATTCTTGGAACAAATAATTGGTTAGCGTTTGACATTTATTTTTAGATGAGAGAAGTACGGCACGAGAATCTGAATCCTTTTATTGGTGTGTGTATTGATAATCCAAACATCTGTATTGTAACACAATATTGCTCAAAGGGCAGTTTACAGGTATTGTAATTTAACAGTTATATAATAGTGTTAGGAAAACTATTCCAAGTTATGACTTCGGCCAGCAGTTGATATTACTTGTATCTCGAAGCACCTTACCATACACACAGCACCATACACACAGTCTGAAAAAATGCATATTCTCGCCTAAAATATAAGAATTTTTGTCTTTCTAGTATCTCAATACATGATTTAAATATCGTATTTACTTGATTAATAATTCACGATTTGTCCTTCGTACCTCATATCCATTTTAAGTTAGTGTGTCAAAGATGTGCATACACAAAGATTTACAAAACATGGAATAGTATCATGTGAATATATATAATATCATTTTAATTTACTTACAGGATAATCTTGGAAATGATGCGATAAGATTAGATTGGACGTTTAAAATGTCATTTGCGTACGACATCTCTTGTGTGAGTATTTTTTTACACACAATCTTTTGCTTCTTTGTTTTGTCGGTTTTGTGTGTGTGTGTGTGGGTGTGTGTGTACTTGGATTGCTATATGTTGCGAGGACAAAAATACAGATATATAGCTACTTCCGAGGACATACACACCTTCCGAGGACCTTTTTCATAGTCCTCGGAAAACATAATTTATATTAATAGTTAATTCGATTATTAATACGTTTTGCGTAGCTTAGGTTT